TGTTGAAAGGATTTTACATGTATGGACTTGTAATCGAAAAGGTTTACTCGCTATTCACTTAATACTAGATTCATGCTACTTGCTAGATGTTCCCATGATATGTGGGTTCTTGAAATTAAGAAGTTAATTTCATGAATAAGAGTTAATTAGATTAATTCAAATTACAAAGAGTTGTAAAACCTACTACTAGTATTAATAGTGAACTTAAAAGGTCACACCAATTTTTGAATGAAAGCAAAATGAAAATAGTATTTCTAAAGAGTTAGAATTAATTGACAAATCTAATTTTGATTAGATGTCAATAAAGGAATATACTAAATTAATCAATTGGAATGATTAATTTTATTTTGGATATTAATTAAGTAATGAATGGAATTACTAAATTAATAGTTGGATTAAAATTGGATTTAAAATTCAAATTCAAATAATAATATGATTATTAAATGAGGAGATTTTATATATGGGAGAAAATATATTTACAAATAATTTTGAAAGAGTTTAAAATTATTTGTTTTTTATTATTATTAATTTTTAATTAAGATTAAAGATTAAATAATAATAATAGTAAAATAATGGATGGGGATGGGATCTCACATCACATTAATTATTCTTGTATTAACTTGTAAAAGTGATACAAGACTTTAACATTTCTTGTGAAAGTTATTCAAGACATAAATCTTTTAAGTTGAATTTCTTTACATTTCTTGTGAAAGTTTTTCAAGACATCAATATTTTATACCTAAAATTTTAGTATAAATATGGACATACTTGATATTCATAATTGCTAAGTTTGTAATAAAAATTTTAATTCTTGAAAAATTTGAGAAAGATAAGAAAAATTATAATCTCTCTAAAAACAAGAAAAGTTCTTGTATAAACTCCTCATAAACAAATATTCCTATACTTATTGAAAAATCCGAGTAATTTCTACTAGCGAAGAAATTATCTTTCAGAGTCGGATTTAAAAAGGTGGATACTATTAGAGGGAAGACGATTGGAGTCCTAAAGTGAGTAACAAGAAGAATTGATTGTTACTATACCGGGAATTGATTTCCTCTATCTTCGTCAAAGTTGAAGGAGTTCAAGTTAAGGTAATGTCGAAACTATCTTCAAATCAAAATTTGTATTTATACATGTTTTTAAATGATAACGATATGTTTATTCGCTTTATGTATTTACGGGTTGAGTATTTATATGATAAATACTTGTATAAAAAAAAAATATTTTTTTTTCCGCTGCAAATCACCCGTATGGTACAGGCGAACCCAACAATGCAGGCCCAAACCCAGTCCAGGAGCAGTCTAGCAGGTCTAGGAGCCATGGTGAGCCCACGCGAGTCCAAGACAACCCGACGAGCAACTGAAGACGTGATGACGAGGCCAAGTCGATGCCCAATGGACTCTGAGGTTCAAAGTATCTCCAACAGCGGAAATCAGAAACGTCTCAGAGTCGGCAAAATTTTTAAACCGTAAGTCCTAATCCTAACTATAGGTTCCTCATATAACCTAACAAGTTATTGTGTTTGTTTTATCTGCCATTGAAAGGCAACGTTTTGTGTTGTGTTCCAAACTAAGTCATGTTTCACTAGATAGGTTTATTTGGAATTTTGTTTTTTATGAATAACAAGCCGTGTATTAGTTACTATGTTTGTTGTGATCTGCCATTGGTTGTCCCATTTTTGTTGCATTTTTTGTGCTTGTTTTTCTTTTCTTTTTCCCCCGTTTTAGGTCGTTTCTTTCATTTTTAGTCCGTTTCGTATTTTATTATGTGTTCTCCTTCATTTTGAGTCTTTAGGTATTTTTTCATTTGTTTTCCCGGTTTTCTTCGTCTTTTTTTCGTTTTTGGTGTGTAGGTCGGGAGCTTCGGGCGAATTTTCTCTTTAGGAAAAGTTGGTTTCGAGAACATAACTGGATAGATGGGTTCGTTAGCGACGCGTAGGAAAAAACAAAACTCAATTCCGAGTTCGGACGAGCCCAAAGAGCCCGAAACGTAAAATCATGCAGTGCAGCCAAAGTCGCGACTCGCGACTTTAACAGAGCCTTCGACCAGCCTGCGCGACCCCACGACCCGTCAGACTCGCGACTCGCGACCCGTTCAGCCCTTTTTTTTATTTTGCTCGTTTTTTCTCATTTTAGCTCTATTTTTCGAGCACTATATATTGAAACGTTCCCCAGACTCGTGGGAATAATCCCCAAACATATTTTTTTCAGTTTCTCCTACTCTAAAACTTTGATTTTGATCGTTCTTTTTGCTCAATTCTCTCTTTACTTTTCCGGATTAAGCTTTATCATTGGATTCGAATATCGGTTTTTCATTAATCGTAAGTTTCTCTTTTCATCTAATTCATGAATATGATGGCTTTGATTGTTGAGATTGTTGATTTTGAATTCCATATAAGGAGCTAATTCTTTTCGCTAGGGATAGGGGATGATGATGTTTAGAATTTAATTGTGATTTTCATGCTTATTAATCATTCAATTTATGCGAGTTGTGCTTAACTAGGGTTTTTAATTCTCGTGCATTGAATGTTGAATATTGTCGAAGAGTGACACTTTGATTTGCAATTGATTTCCAATTGAATATAATTCGTTCTTGTGTGATGTGTTTAAATCCAACGAACTAGTAGATTAACAATCGTCTAGGATAATTAATCAACTCTTAGAACCGAAAGGGGAGGTGTTGATCGATCTAGGTTCGTATGAAATAGACTTGTTCGGAAACGTATTGTCTATGTGTTGCGTGATTTATTTGATTTACCGTCTATGTTACCCTTCTGTTACGAAGAGTTATTGAGGACTAATTTCTAGACGTTAGGTTGTTCAATTCACTTAACCGAATGATTTTAGCTTGATATTTGCATTGGTTAGAAAATCATCATTCCTGAATCTAGTGACATGAGTATATAAATATAGCATACAACTAACTATATTAACACACCGGCTAAACAATAAACTAAAAAACTCTCACAAATGAAGAAGTCTTAATTGTCTATAAACCCCAACATTTTATACAATTGCAAATAAAATCAACTATTTTAGCTTTGCAAATAAATATCAAACTTTTATTATGTGTTGTAAATTTGTCTCAAAACCATTTTCCGGCCAAGTCGAGCTGATGTGTCCGATCAGAAATCTTACATGGTACTGATAAGCTTGCGTGGCAGACTAATTTTTTCACATCATCCTCCATGTGAAAATAAAATCAACAATAAAATAAATATCATAATTCTCCCACAAGAACCCTAAACTTTTTTTTTTTGTTGGCAGAATCCATCAAATCAAAAGTCCAAGCCAACATCAACTAAAGCCTCTGCATCTCTTAATCTCTGTTCGCCCGATGCTATAAGTGCCAACACCTTCCAACTTTTTGCAAAGCTCCCACCACTCATTTTCGAAAACTCCATCACAAGTTCATAGGCCTTTCCCAAATTCCTCTGCACGACATTTTCTAGCCCAAGCACAACTTGATTTCTAAATCCTCACTTTTCCTGATTTGATGAATGTAGTTCAACAAGCTAATCGCGTCTTTATGATGAGCGGCTCTTTTGTAATCAGAAATTGACTCCCTTGCAGATGTGCTTTTGCACTTGAACCGGCCTCCCTCCAATCCTCGACCGCTCCAAGACCTGCAAAAACGCCGGGAGGTGCTCCCGGCGGTAAACCTCCGACACTCAAGTCAGTAAGAGATCAAAGATAGAAGGAAGCTGTGTATAGAATTTAGGGTTTGTAAAATGATTCCCCTTACCTCCTACCATGGTTTACCTATTTATATGAAGCTACTAGCTTGCTCAATGCGCCTTTGTCTCTCCTCCAATAGATCATGTATCTCTTCTTGATCCTGACACTCCACGTGTCCTTTAAATGTTACTGCCCATAATTGTCTCACCTGCTCGGTCTTCGCCCAATTCACCCTTTCTCCACCGTTAAGCCAAGCCGCACCTATCCGAGCTACTCTATAAGGCCGAGCTGTTGCTATGAATGGGCTACCTGCTCGGTCGTCGAGCCATTTTCATAGCTCATAAGCCGAGCTATTGCTACGAATGGTCTACCTGCTCGGTCGCCGAGCCGTGTTCACAGCTAATAAACCGAGCTAGTTGTAAGCCAGGGCAATCCTAAGCTAATGCTACGAATAAGCTATCTGCTCGGTTACCGAACCGTTCTCTCCGTTTATAACCACCCAACAGCTCATAAACCGAGCTCAATGACGTAATCAAGACTGTTGCCCGCCTAACTGGTTCAAAGCCGAGCTATTAATATGAACCGGGCTATTCATACACTAAATAAACCGGGCTACTCCAGATGTTATATCATCTAGGCCCCCCATTATCAAATAAGCTATTGTTCATTAACCTAAATAGACTTGTTTGATAATATCAATAATGGTTAGATAAACCTAGTTGATTAAGATATTGAAATATCTAAATAATGGTTGAGAGTTTCAAATGGCCGAGCTGTACTTAGGATCTGCCCAAAATACCTAGCTCCTGCCACCGAGCTACTTCACTGTACACACACAGCACATATAGAAAGAAGAAAAGTGGGCTGCACTTCATTTTGTAATTAGTATTCTTCTATTTTGTAAAGACACAAATTTCGGCCCAAAAACTTTTAAACCGAGCTCTGTTCACGGAAAGACCGAGCCATGAGAACCGGCTCTCTTCCGAACTATCAGTAATAACCAAGCTCCGACCCAACACCCTAATACCGAGCTAATGCCATTATTCTTTAACCGAGCTGTTAATATGATTTTCGAGCTCCGTACGCTTGCTTAATAATCTCCAATTGGAATAATAGAGTCGGCTGAACTCCTGTGTTGGCCCATACCCGAGCTATCAAAAAGGTCCACCTAACCCCATCGTTTATCGTCGATTTTCGAAATCACAGCTTATCTCTCCGTCGTTGGATACACCTGCATCTAACGATTCTGCTTCTTTCCCTCTTTTTACCATAAATATATCTTTTCTTCCTATTTATCCTTTTCCCACCTTTCAAATTTTAGATCTAGGTTTCAGCAAAAAGCCCATCCCTACATCTCCGGCGATTTGCTTCAACCCTCGGCGTTTTGCGTCTCTTTTCCGACGATTCGCTTCGAGCCTCGGCGTTTTGTGCTCCTTCTCCAGCGAGCTCTTTATTTACCATGGGTATGCTTTTCTTTCCTTCCTCTTTTTCTTTGGGCACTGAAGTAATTAATTTTTTTTTTTTTGGGCACAGTGTTTCTAGTTCTCTTCAAATTTTGATAATTTCCTACATGCTTTCTGGCTTTTGATAATCTCCCATAGTCACGTATTTTCTCAAAATTTGTGCTATTTCTCTCGCACCTACATATTTAATATACATGTTGTGTATAATTTATTTCAATCTCTCCTCCATGTGCACACGGCATTGGATTTTGATACATATATATTTTTTATATCACGGCCTTTCAATTCGGCTTTCCCGACCGCTTATGTTGAGTTTCGCGGTCCCCCCTCCCTTTATGTCAAATTTCTTGGTTGTTTAATTCAACCTCTTTGACCGCTTATGTAAAATTTGAAATTTGGTCTGGACTTTCCGATGTTTTACACGTGTACTTTTCTTCTCCTTCTNCACCCGATTCTTCGGATATCGTGGATATCTCCTCGGCATCCGATCACTCTATACCCGACCCGAACTCTTCATCCGAGCTTCAACTTCGCGATGAAGCTGATGATGATATATCTTGGAGTTCTCTAACCCCTATTGTAAATGACGGTACCCTTTCCTTAGCAAGTGACCTTCCCAAGGGCGTTCCATTAGCTACTTCCGAGCTACGTGCTCGGCAAGCGGGAATTATTGTGGACGCCGAGCACTCCGTCATCCCTACCCGAGAGCTAGCGCTTGACGCGGTCGTAGTTGCTCAGCCCAATCCCTTCCTTTATGCCAATGAATCCCAAATAAGGGAGTTTTTCCATTTATGCGAGCTCCCCCCCGATTGGGTGTTTCAGGTACCTTCTCCGGGTAGCTCTTTTAACCAACCTCCTCGTGGGTTCTATACCTTTTTTGTAGATCAGGTAGTTAGTGGGTTGAGGTTTCCCATACGCTCCGACCTACTCACCCTAATCCGGCAATATAAAAACTTCCCCATTAATCAGCTCGCCCCTAATAGTATCCGCATCCTAGTAGGCTATACCATATTGAGCCACTATTATTTTAAAAAATTAGACCCTGAGTTCTTTTTTTACTGCTATAACCTTAAGAGGCATCCGGAGGGGTCGTTTTGTCTTACTGCTCGTAAAGGAGCTGATTATCTTAGTGAACATAATACTAAGATAAGTCACTGGAAGAGCCGATTTTTCTTCGTCAAACCACCAAAAAGAACCTTCGACTTCAACCCGATAGAAAAAGTCACCTCGGTTGCATGAGCTCGTCCTGGATTGGAATAAGATCCCCTACAGTGTAGAAAAGCTCACTTCTCCCGACGAGCTCAGTTCTTATTATGGGTTGACCAATAAGAGGGTCGATCCCTTTGACTTAGGTAGCGAATAACTATTTATATGTGTGTTAAAAATACAATTTGCTTGAGCACTTGTACTCATTTTCTCCTATCTTATATGTTGCAGATAAGTTCGTGTCTGGTGCCATCTCCACCGAGAACAAGAAAAAGAAAGCTCGCACCCAATCTGGCGATGGCGGCACCTCTCATCCTCCTGTACCTCCAAACAAGAGCTCATCCTCCGACCTTCTGAAAAAAATTCTGCCCCACACTCGGAAGAGAAATCGACCGAAGAGGGCAGCACCTCCATTACTTGGACGATTGCCGTTGAGCCTGTTCACACCTCTATCCAGCAACCTCGAGCCTTTGCTACTCATCATGATCCTTCGATTCAATCGTCATATCTGCTCTCCATCTTTCCCGGGGATGAGGCCGATCGTTGGGGTGGCGATAACCGAGCTCGTGCTAAGTTCTGCATCGAACATTTTGCTCAAGTAAGCTAACTCTCTTTCTTCTGTTTCTTCTTCTTTTGTATATATATCTTAAATCCGTTGTTTTGAATTTGCAGTTTAGTTCAGGCCTCGCCGGGATGTTACACGAGGCTATTGAAAATGAAGCTCCTTCTGCAGCTGAATATCGTGAACTCAAGATGAAATACGATGTCGAGCACTCGCTAACCAAATCCCTTCAGACCGAGCTGAAAGCCTCTAAGGTAGAAATGGTTCGCCAAGCTGGCAAGATCAAGTCCTTAACGCTTGACAATGCTCGTCTTCAGCAAGACATCACCAACCTCCGTGCCGAGCTAGAGGTAGCCGTGAAGGAGGCCGTTACCAAAGAAGCAGCAGCTCGTCAAGAAACTCGCGAGAGCTTCCTTGCCTCCCCCGACGGAGCTCGATTCCTCACCATCTACCGTAAGGAATTGCTCGACCTATATCACGATTCCATGTCATTTCTCGGGATGCTCTACCCCGCCGCTACTAAATACCTAATGTTAGGCGCCACCCGAGCTCTTGAGCAGGCTAGGGCAAGCGGGAATGTCAATAGCTATGATGACGTTGCTCTAAAACTTAATATCCCCAATCCTGATGGTTGGGCTGGAGATTCCGAGCTTCCCCTCGATTATCCCTAGTGGGAATCCGCCTTGGCGACTGCCCTGCGCAAGCTCGAGCTCGGTCACGAGGATGAGGCTGGAGCAGGCGACGACCGAGCTTTGGATGAGGAGCAGGAGGGAGAAGAGCATGTCGATCAAGACAAGCAAGAGACCCAGACCGAGCAAATTACCGAGACCACCCTTACCGAGCAGATGACCCAGACCGAGCAGACCACCGAGACCACCCTTATCGAGCAGTTAACCCAGACCGAGCAGACCGTCATAGCCGACCAGAATCCAGCCGCTTAGCTAGTTGTAACTATTATTCGTACTTCCTTTTGATGTTGTATTCTATGATGACTTTACTTTTGGGATATTCATCTTTTGTGTGACATGTTAGGAACTCTTTTTATTGCATTTCGAATTCTTGCTAAATAGCTCATCTATTTGATATATCTCAACAACAGTATACAACTATCTCTTGCTAGGTAAATTACAAGTAACAAGCTCGGTCATAGACCTTCATCTGCTCGGTTTACCTAGCTCGACTACTTAGTACATGTGCAAATATAACCGGGCTACACAAACTGAGCTCGGTCATATCATTTGAGTTGCACCCGAGCTCCATGAGCTCGGCTTAAGCCGTTACAAATTTTGAACAGCTCCCGAGCTCATCAAGAGCTCGGCCTTAAGCCGTTATTCTATTTTGAACAGCGCCCGAACTCCATGAGCTCGGCCTTAAGCCGTTACATCGTTCGAACAGCTCCCGAGCTCATCAAGAGCTCGGCCTTAAGCCGTTCCACTTTGAACAGCGCCCGAACTCCATGAGCTCGGCCTTAAGCCGTTACTCAGCTTTGAACAGCACCCGAGCTCTAAGAGCTCGGCCTTAAGCCGTCACTTAACTTTGAACAGCACCCGAGCTCCAAGAGCTCGGCCTTAAGCCGTCATTCAACTTTGAACAGCACCCGAGCTCCAAGAGCTCGGCCTTAAGCCGTCATTCAGCTTTGAACAACACTTCATTACGAGTTGTTCACACTTAGCGAAAAGAAAAATTTGCTCAAAAATGTTTTTCAAAGCATAAATATGCCGCCAATCAATACTTAGTTCATTCATCAACCACAAAAATAAGAAATATAGCATAAACAACTTCAACATTTTCATTGATTCAGCAGCCCAAACACAATTTCATGAACAACATCAAAGTTTTCATTGATTCACTGACCAAATCATAAGTTTTCAAAAAGCCACTCAAGATTACAATCAAACTAACAGTAATATTTCTTGAGATTTGCAATATTCCAAGGTCTAGGGAAGACCTTACCATCTGGATCCTTCAGCTCATAAGCTCCTCCAGCAAACACCCTCTGAATAATGTAAGGCCCTTCCTAGTTGGGTTCTAACTTGCCCACATGCTTCAGCAAATCAGCTCTTCTCCAAACAAGATCACCCACCTGGAACTGCCTCTTCTTCACCTTCTTGGAATGAGCTGCACACATCTTCTGCTTGTACTGCAATGTTTTCAGCCAAGCTTGATCTCGTGTCTCATCCACCAGTTCAAGGGCTTCTTTGACCAGCTCCTCATTCTGCCCTGCCTCGAAAGCAGTTGTCCTCTGAGAGCTAAGACCAATCTCCACTGGGATCACAGCTTCCATCTTATATACTAAGCTAAATGGTGTTTCTTCGGTTGTTGCCCTTGGAGTGGTCCGATACGACCAAAGCACAGTATCGAGCTCATCCACCCATGCACCTGAAGCTTTGCCTAAACGAGTCTGCCGCCCCCTCAAGATAGTTCTGTTGGCCACCTCTGCTTGTCCATTTGCTTGTGGATGAGCTACTGATGCAAAGTGCTGCTTGATGCCCATTTCCTCACACCCAGCCATTATCTTCTTTCCCCGAAATTGTGGGCCATTATCAGAGACTATAACCCGCGGGATGCCATACCTGCAACAGATGTTAGTGAATAAAAATTTTATCACTTTCTCTTCAGTTATCTTTGCCATTGCTTCAGCTTCCACCCACTTGCTGAAGTAATCCACCACAACCAGCAAGAACTTTGTCCAGAGCCTTGTGGAAAAGGCCCTACTATGTCCATCCCCCACTGAGCAAATGACAAGGGTGAACTCATTGGCATCAACTCCTCCGCAGGTACATGTATGAGTTGCCCATGTTGTTGGCAATTAAGACACTTCTGGACCAATTCCTTCGCCATTGCTCTCATTGTTGGCCAAAAATAACCGACCCTTAAAACTTTGCCCACTAAAGCCCGCGCCTTAATGTGATCTCCGCAACAACCCTCGTGCACCTCCCTTAGCACATAATCACCCTCCTCCTCGGAAACACACCTTAGATGAGGTCCAAAGTAAGACCTCCTGAAAAGCACACCCTCCTGAACAAAGAACCTCAGAGCCCTCCGACCTAACTTATCACCCCGCACATCTTGCTGCCCCAAGTCCGCTTGTGCCAACCAACCTAAAATAGGACTCCTCCAATCTTCCTTTTCTTCTAACTCCATAACCCCCTCCAAAATACTAGACCCCATTTGCATTAGTGTTACTGAACGAGATCTGCAATCCACTAGCGAGGCTCCGACCTTAGACAATAAATCAGCTCTTCCATTCTCGGCCCTCGGGATCTGCACGAGCTCCCATGATTCAAAACTTTTAGCTAATGCGCGTGCTTCTTCCGCATGCTTCCCCATCCTTTCTTCCTTAGCCTCATACTCTCCCTTCATCTGCTCCACCACCAATTGAGAATCTGATCGTATAACAACCTTCCTAGCTCCAGCACTTGCCACCAATTGCATTCCCTTCAACAACGCCTCATACTCTGCTTCATTATTTGAGGCTCTGAAAGTGAGTTTTACCGTAAACTCAATCGGCTCGCCACCTGGCGGCAGGATCAAAATTCCCACTCCTGCTCCTACCTTAGTTGAAGACCCATCCACATAAACATCCCAAACACTTGGCTCATCACCCATGGTACCCTCCTGAATAAAATCTACCAATGCCTGCGCCTTAATAGCTCTCCTTGGTTCAAAGCTGACGTTGTATTCCCCCAACTCAACTGCCCACTTCACCATCCGACCAGAAGCAGACGGCTTTCCCATAGTCTCCTTCAGAGGGAAATTGGTCCTCACCATAACCACATGCGATAAGAAATAAGGCCTCAACTTCCGAGCTGTAACAATAAGAGCTAAAGCCGCTTTCTCCACCTCCGCATACTTCATTTCTGCTCCCTGCAACAACCTGCTGACATAATAGATAGGTTGCTGCACCCCTCCTCCTTCTTTCAACAAAATCGAGCTAATGGCTACCTTACCAACAGAAAGATATAAGATCAACACATCCGCGAGGTCTGGCTTGGTGAGCAAGGGTAGCTCAGCCAAAAACTCCTTCAGTTTTAGAAAAGCCTTATGCGCCTGTATAGACCACTGGAACCTAGCTCCTCTACGGAGAGCTCAGAAAAAAGGGAAACTCTGCTCCACTGCATGAGCTATGAATCGACTGAGCCCCGCCAGACGACCAGTGAGAATCTGCCCCTCCTTCAAGCTCCTAGGAGGCTGCATATCCAACACCGCCCGCACCTTCTCCGGATTAACCTCTATGCCCCGCTCCGTGACCATATATCCCAGAAACTTTCCCGATCTCACCCCAAACTTGCACTTCGCCGGGTTTAGCTTCATCATGTACCTCCTTAACGTCTCAAAGGTCTCCTTCAAATCCGCCGCATGGTCTCCTGCTCTTCGGCTTTTCACTAACATATCGTCGACATAAACCTCCATGTTCCTTCCCAACTGCCCCGCAAACATCTTATCCACCAATCTTTGATAAGTTGCCCCTGCATTTCGTAAGCCAAACGGCATAACAACATAACAATAAGTCCCCTTAGATGTAACAAAGCTCACCCGCTTCTGGTCCTCCACCGCCAATGGTATCTGGTGATACCCCTGAGAACCGTCCATCATGCTCAGCAACTCACAGCCCGCCGTTGAATCCACCAATTGATCAATGCGCGGCAGCGGGTAGTGATCCTTTGGACATGCTTTGTTGAGGTCCCGAAAATCTGTGCACATACGCCATTTGTTCTCCGCCTTCTTCACCATGACCTGATTTGAGAGCCACTCGGGGAACTGAATAGTTTAATGTGACCAGCCTGAAGCACCTTCTCTACCTCCTTCTCAATGGCAACATCTAACTCTGCCCCAAAATGCCTCCTCTTCTGTTTGACAGGCCTCATCCTAGTGTCGATGTTTAGCTTGTGTTCGGCCACCCTAGGATCGATGCCCACCAACTCCTCCAGCGTGAATGCAAAGATATCCACATACTCTCTCAACAATGCCACCAACTGCACCTTAATATCCTCTTTCAGCTCCTTCCCCACCTTAGTCACCTTCTCCGGCTCTCCTTCCACCAGAGAAATCTCTATAAGCTCATCCTGCGGAACTATCTCCGTCCTAGCCTCCTTCCCTTTGCTCGAGCCCTCCTCCTTTACGTTGCTCGAGCTTGCCTTCATACACTTCCTCTTATTACCCGCCTTCAACACCGTCTGGTAACAAGTCCTAGCCAACCGCTGGTCCCCCGTCACCTCACCTATTAGCTCTCCCACTAGAAATTTCATCTTCATACAATATGTAGAGACCGTTGCCTGAAAAGAATTCAAGCTAGGCCGCCTCAATATGACATTGTAAGCCGACTCCGCCTTTACCACAACAAATCGAACCATCTTCACCTTCCGCAACGGAGGAACTCCCAACGCCATAGGCAACTGGATCTCCCCCATCGGTACCACCTTCGCTCTACTAAAACCAAACAACGACGTTCTAATCGGGGTTATCTCAATATACAGATCCATCTGCCTGAAACACTCATAAAACATGATATCTGCAGAACTCCCGGTATCGACAAGTATTTTCTCCACATCATACCCATCAATCTCTTCCATCACCACCAACGCATCATTATGGGGCACCAACACTCTCTGGGAATCCCCGACACCAAACTTCAACTCCGGCATAGTATTAGTTATCTGCACCTCCGCTACACTCTCCCAATCCGCCCTCAGGTTAGCTCTCCTAGCACCATTTGAATCACCATCCGTCGGCCCCCCAACAATCATGTGGATCACCCCCCCTCTTAGGAGCCCTCTCACCTTGCTCCTCATGTCTCCGCTTCTTCTCTCCACCCTCCAAGTCATCCTTCTTCTCCTTATCCAGAGCCACAAACTCCTTCAAATGTCCCGCTCTGATAAGCCTCTCTATCTCATCCTTGAGCTCCTTGCAATTGTTCGTCCAATGTCCATAATCACGATGGTACCTGCAATAAGGATCTCCTCGCACTGGCACCTTCCCTGCTTTCTTAGGTAGTGGCTGGGGTTTCCCAAACAACATCGTCTCCCCCCTCTTTTCCAGCATCTCATACACCATCCCCCTCGGTGATGTCAGTGGGGTGTAATGCTCATATTTAAAACCCAGATGCCCCTTCTCCTCATTCCTGCTCTCCCTACCTCCCGACCTCCTCTCATCTGACCTATGTTTCTCCTCATGTTTCCTCCCCCTCGCCCGATCTTGTGCCAAGAAATCCGCCTCCGTCTCCTCCATATTCATATACTTAGCACATCTCTCTAATAGCTCATCATATGACCTTGCAGGCTTCTTAGCTAAAGAGTTCCTGCAGTGCCCCCCCTTCAATCCTCGTGTGAGTCCCCCCGCTTTGATCTCCTCCGTTGCAGTAGGAACCTCCACACAAGCTCGCGTGTACCTAGCAACGTAATCCCTCAGTGATTCATTCTCACGTTGCTGCATATTGATCAATGAGAGGTAGGTCTTCTCTTGCTTCCTTGCACTAGAGAACTGATTGATAAACAGTGAGCTAAACGCCCCAAAGCTATAGACAGATCCTGGTGGGAGCTGATGGAACCAATCCTGAGCAGAGCCCTTCAAAGTCGTCAGAAAAGCCTTGCAACATACTCCGTCACTGTAACGATGCAACACCGCCACATTCTCAAAGCTCCTCAAGTGTCTAGCCGGGTCTGATGAGCCATCGTAGCATAGGTTAGGCTCCTTGAAATTCTGAGGCAACTCCGCACCCAAAACCTCCTCAGTAAATTGATTACCCTACAACCTGGGCAACCGCCTCCCCTCCAACCTAGCCTGCATCTCCTTAATCTGGTTCGCCATCTGCTCCAACACCGCGTCTCTGGGTGGCCCATTAACCATCGGAGACATCACTGACCTCTCCTCTTGCTCTTCCCTCCGCTGGCTACCGCCACCCATCGCCGTAGGAACCACCGGAACGTGCTGCTCCACCACCGGGTTGATTATCGGCCCACCTTGCTCTAAACGACCTCCGCCCTGCTCCGGCTGCGCCACCACCGCAACTGGCCTCACAACCTCCGCCTGTGCTCGCGCAACCAGAGCTCTACTAACCGCCTCCGCTATGAGACGGTCCAACTCCATCCTGGTCACCGTCATCGCAGGCTCCCCTCCTCCCTGCACGACGCCTGGCCCCGATGTCTGCACAATCACCTCCTGGCTTCTTCTCTACTCCGCCACCGGGATCTGGCTCACCACTTGCAGATTCACCTGAGGGGTAGCCGTTGGACCCTCACCTCCAGTCCACCCCACCGGCGGTCCTCCTCCATAGGGCGTTTGCGTGACCCAAGCCTCCGCCAGGCTCTCGTCCAAATTCCTCCTCAACGGTTGCCCCTCTCCGATCGTCGTTTCCATCTTACTTACTGTCAATCAGTAGAGTAACTGAGTTACACCACTAGACGGCGCCAATTGATGTGCTTCTGCACTTGAACCGGCCTCCCTCCAATCCTTGACCGCTCTAAGACCTGCAAAAACGCCGGGAGGTGCTCCCGGCGGTAAACCTCCGACGCTCAAGTCAGTAAGAGATCAAAGATAGAAGGAAGCTGTGTATAGAATTTAGGGTTTGTAAAATGATTCCCCTTACCTCCTCCCATGGTTTACCTATTTATATGAAGCTACTAGCTTGCTCAATGCGCCTTTGTCTCTCCTCCGTTAGATCATTTATCTCTTCTTGATCCTGACACTCCACGTATCCTTTAAATGTTACTGCCCATAATTGTCTCACCTGCTCGGTCTTCGCCCAATTCACCCTTTCTCCACCGCTAAGCCAAGCCGCACCTATCCGAGCTACTCTATAAGGCCGAGCTGTTGCTACGAATGGGCTACCTGCTCGGTCATCGAGCCATTTTCATAGCTCATAAGCCGAGCTATTGCTACGAATGGTCTACCTGCTCGGTCGCCGAGCCGTGTTCACAACTAATAAACCGAGCTAGTTGTAAGCCAGGGCAATCCTAAGCTAATGCTACAAATAAGCTATCTGCTCGGTTACCGAACCGTTCTCTCCGGTTATAACCACCCAACAGCTCATAAACCGAGCTCAATGACGTAATCAAGACTGTTGCCCGCCTAACTGGTTCAAAGCCGAGCTATTAATATGAACCGGGCTATTCATACACTAAATGAACCGGGCTACTCCAGATGTTATATCACTTGCTGCATTTCCATCTCTTAACTTGTGATTTGGTGGATTTTGCAAAAAAGAAAAAAAAAAAAAGTGCAGAGTTCTTGTGGGAGAATTATGGTATTTATTTTATTGTTTGTTTTATTTCCACATGGAACATGATGTGGAAAAATTGGCCTGCCACAGTGTTATGTAAGATTTCTGATCGGACACGTCAGCTCGACTTGGTCAAGAAATGATTTTGAGACAANACTCACACACACAAAACACAAAACACGAAAATAGAAAAACTCTCCATTTGTTTTGAGGGATTTGAAATCTCTTGATTTCAAAATTTTTGAAATATATAATTTTTTTACTTGCATACTCCTTGAATGGATGTGTTGAAAATATTATAAATCAATTGTCTAGCTCGTTCCGATGGTGTTGACTCGTGGTGGTGATGAACCTAAATGATCGCGGACGACGTGGTCGTCAACGGTGATAAACAGTAGATTTCAAACTACTAAGTTTGTGGAGTTATTTAAAATCCTTCAAAATAATGACTAGAAAAACATCTAGCATGAATTTAAAATCCCCTAACTTCCATTATCATCCCAACATACAGAATTGATTTAAACTTGTAAATTTAAAATCTATATATTTCAAATATATGACTAAAACCTTCAATCCAAACTTAGACTAAAAGGATTGAAAAACGCTAGCCCTCTCCAACAGGTGTAAAAAAAAAGAAATCCACCAACTCAATTCTCAAATCTCAACCACATTTTTAAAAATTTATAAGTTGAAAAGAACAAATAAATTTATCAGAATATCAATTGGAGGCCTCTGCATGCAATTTTCACATCAGCATCAATTCATCGCCCCACAAAGAAGAGGAAAAAAGAAGTTTTGGAAGAAAGAAAAAGAAATCCGGCATGCTTCTTGTTGATTTTAAAGAATTTCAAGAAAAGGTTTATACTCACTTCAGACCCTGGCAACGTTCATTCCAATTCTGGACTCGAGCTATTGATATCTACACCGGCTACAAGGTATTTCACATGTCTGTCTTTCGGAAGATTCCGGTGTTGTGTTTTACATAAAAATGAAATAACCTTTTGATTGTTTAGGTGTTTCAAGTCAGAGTAAATTTTGTGAAAGATGTGGCGACTAGGGAGGCAATGTGGGAGAAACAGCACGAAATTGCGGCTGATAAGATATATGATATGTGTGCTGACCTCGGAGGCTTTTTTCTTAAGGTTTCCCTTTTTCTTTTTCCTTTTTTTTGCAGTAATTTTTACTTCTTTTTTGCTTCTGAAATTTTCATGGTTCTTATTGCCTTCAATATCTGGGTTGGATCTCCTAGTACATTTATTGCTGCTTCTTTTTGGTACTCCTAGTTGAAAGAGATTCTTGTTTTTCTTCTGTTTTTGTTATTTGTGAAATTTATAGTTGAAGGCCTTACTTATATAATTATATTGGATGCAATTGCGAGTAAGTTCAGAATTAGAATTATAATTCAATTTTGTATCTTTCAATTTTTTCTGCACTGAATCTTGGATTTGTATAGATTGCACAAATTATAGGGAAGCCGGACTTGGCACCGGCTGCTTGGGTGAGAAGGCTGGTCACATTGTGCGATCAGGCTCCGGGCACCCCATATAATGTGATCAAGAATGTGCTCGAGAAGGAGTTGGGTCAAAGTGTGGAAGAACTATTCGAAAGATTTGACGTGCATCCTCTTGGTTCTGCTTCAATTGCACAGGTGTTTCTTATTGTGAGCTTTGGTACAACGATTTGAGGCTTGTATTTTAATGTTGATAGAAATATTCCATTTTTTTTTCTTATTTTGGGTCCTTATCGCTGAGAAATTTCGTTAGTGCTACCGGCTAAGGATAATCTGTATAAATATTTTTTGGTGCTTCACTGACAGATTAGCACTTGATTCGTTGAAAATGCATTTACTTTTGATGTATGCTTAAGATTTATCCGCTCATGTCTAATCAGGTTCACCGAGCACGGCTTAGAGGTGATAAAAGTGATGTTGTTGTGAAGGTAAGAGACTTATATTGCCAGCTTTTGATTCTGACCTTCATGATTATAGCTTATTTTCTTTTTTCTTTGAAAATTTATCAACTTGTGAAAGGAAGATAGTTCTGTTCTTAAACAAAGAGAATGCCACAATCATGCACCTGACTTGGATTTGGCCCCAGGTTTCCCTACCCAGTAAAAGCACCCCTAACCAGACTAAAAGCTAAATCCTATTCGTTACATTTTTTGCAGGTCCAGCATCCTGGTGTGCAAGACTTGATGATGACTGATATCCGCAACTTGCAAGCTTTTGCATTATACATGCAAAAGACAGACATAAAGTTTGATCTATATTCTGTAACCAAGGAAATGGAGAAACAGGTGAATCTCGTGAATCTCGTTACTGATTCTTATGCTAACCTTCCAATTGGGGAGATTAAAGCTATATGCACAGATGCTCTTTTGTGTAATTGTAGATAGCTCCAGTTCATAGATAAACTAACATTTTCCTAGTCATCTTATCTTTTCTTTTCCATTATGGTATTATTCGTTGTCCCCATTTCTCATGGCTACCTGTTTTTCTTTATCTTCATAAAATGGTAACTTGAGTAGGCAAATGCTTTCTAGTAATGTCTTGCTTAGTTATTTCAATTGTCTTCAAGTTGATGCTATGAAGACTTTGTCATATACTAGGTATAAAGCAAATAACCCAAACTCAGATGCGGTTTTTACTGTTATCTATTTCTGTCTTTTTCAGAAAATTGGTATTAAATGATATGTTTTTTCGTGGTCTTTTGTTAATTTTGACTTTTAGTGAACCTTTCTTATTTTTTTTTCTTTTTCTTTTTTTTAAGCCATAAGGCTTGCATGATAAGGTTTATCGGCTGTGCGTTTTCTCAGTCTTCATACATACCGTGATATTTAATGCTTTGTAAGGCTGACTTGTTTGTTTAGGTCTGTTGTGAGACTTAGTGAACATTGACTCTCATTGTTTTTCTATATTTTTTTTGTTACTTGTCTGTTTTCTTTTGTAATGTGGTTCATTGCTACATTTACCAGCAAAATTTTATTTCGTTAATATGTATATGAGGTGTTGGTATGTTATTGATGACAAGAGTACTGTTTGTCTTTGCTTTTTATCGCTTAGAAGTTTTGGCATTGCACTGTGGAGTGAAATTTTTTTTATTTCTTTCTTACAAGATTGGATATGAGTTCAATTTTGTGAGGGAAGCTGATGCTATGGAGAAAATTCGGCGATTCCTGTACGAAAATAACAAAAAGGCTCCAGTTTTAGTGCCACGAGTGATCAGAAATATGTTCACAAGGTATGAAAATAGTTCAATTCTTTTGAAATTTTGTTGAGTCTAGCATAAATGTCATCACTAAAGTGTCGTTATCATCTTAGTCTTTCGGAAAATTTTAGTGCATGTCCAGATAATGGACCCTGAAAAGATCATATGTTGGGAATTTTTTTGTATGTTTGTGACATTTGATTTGCAATGGCAGGAGGGTTCTAGTGATGGAGTATATTGATGGTGTTCCGATTCTGCAGCTTGGAGATGCGATGGCTAATAGAGGCATAAGTCCTGGTGGTAAGGTTGCCGCAGCTGCAAAGCAGTAAGCTTCTAGATAATCCCAGAGAGTATGAAATCATCTTTTTCCTTGATCATTTGTGCTTATAGCACACTGCACCTTTAATCTATGATGCTTGTCTGTCAGTCAGATTCATTTATGGCAGCTCACTAATGAATTCGTGGTACTCCTTGATTCTTCTTTATGTAATTTTGGTATATTAACCGCCAAATAGGCTTACTTGTAGTCCTTTGATTTTTGACTTTTTCTATGTCCCATATCAAATTATATTTCTTTTTGCGGAAAGTTTGCTGACAGTCTGATAGATGTAAACTAACCGAGAAACAAAATTGACTGTGGCAATCTTTACAAGTTCCCTCAGTCAGTTTTCCTGTTTTAAGTGGAAGTACTAGTACAACACCCGTGTATTACACGGGTGCTTGTTAAAACAATATTCTTAAATTTTAAAATTAATGAAAAAAATTATTTTAAATTTTATCTACTTTTTTTTAAAAAAATATATATTAGTATATATTTTAGAATGACACTTGTTACTTGTGCGACTTACATGTGTTATATTATAGTAATTTTTATAACTTATATCATATAATAACTACTTGAAATATAAATATATTAATTGATAAATAATTTTATTTTTTTAATTAATATTAGAAAACAATTTTATTATTGTTATAAAGATAAATATAATTTATTTTTTTATACATACAATATGGATGTTAAATTGAAGCTCATCAAGAAATTATTAATTTTGATATATTATATATGTAAAACTGATAAAAATACAAAAGTTATTAACTTTTAAAATACATTTATAATTTGATGGTTATAATAAGTGCATTAATACATGTAAGATGACCATAAATAATCAACTTAAATATATTTATGGATAATCTGGACCTAATTATTTTTGAATTGGAAGTAAATTAAAATCTACCTAAGTTTAATAATGAAGCATGTAATTTTGCCACATAGGATCCCGAAGCATGTGAGTCTGCCACTTAGGCTCAGCACGTTCTGAATTAATATATAGGAGGGATTTGTGAATTGTGATTCTGGATTACTGGATTTAATTGATTTCTAATAAGATACTATTTTTGCTAGTTACTGGAGTTCGATATGCTTCTTCTATTTTTGGCTAGTTACTGGAGTTCAATATACTTCTTCTCTACTCACTACAGTTCCAAAGCAGCATGTTGGAAAACCCACGTTGATTCCAAAACCAAGTTTTAAACTTTTGTAAAATTATGTAGGTAAACTGAAGAAATACTTTTAATAGACATGTTCACATTAAAGTGATCAGTCTAAATATAGACATCGTGCTTTTAAGTATAAGAAGTGTTTATCCTTGAAAGTAATATGACTTTCTAGCATTAGTTTTGATGGGAATTCTCTTTCAAAGCTGTTGTTTCTTTTGAATTAATGCTCTTACATGCTTTCAGATATTTATCGATCTCTCTCTATATATAAAGATTTGTATTTACTTGAAATAATATTAATTCTTAAAAAAAATCTATTTCTTTTTTTATAATTTTTATTCACCATCCGTGGTGAGACTTTAATTTTTATTTTAGGTATCGTGATATCAATAATTTGATCTATATCCATTGATTAAAATTTTCAAAAATTTCAACTTTACTTATATTTATACTTTTATTATTACCAATAATTTGATATTATACTTTTAAAAAATTTATAATCAATTATACCATTTCTGCCTGATTTAGAATTTTTATTTGCTTTTGGAAGATATAAATTAACTAATATGATTATAGGGTCTATAGGCTAATCACTCCAAGTATACTTATTTATAAATATAAAATATTATTTAAAACACGTACATGCGTGATTTAAAAATAATAAAAAATTATTTTAAAGTTATTTATATAATAAAATATATATAATTGTACATATAATAAAATTTATATAGTAACTAGTATGTATATCCTACATGTGTTCACAAAATTAATGAAAAAAATATATATAAATATAAGTAAACAACTATTTTAAGAATCAAGTATATATGATAATGGGTTATTTGTCTACTATTTATGTAAAATTATTAGAGTATAAAGAGTATAAATATTTATAATATCTATTGTTATAAATTATGGTTAACCAACGAGCTATCGTCGAACTCCCATATCAGTTATAACTTTAGAAAGAACAATAAAAGTATTTCTTATATATATTGTTGTAAATTATGATGACAAATCAATGGATTATTTGCCAGATTATCCTTGTAAATTATTAAAGTAGAAGAAAAATTAAAGTATTGATAATATATATTGTTATAAATTAAAATGATAAATCAATAAGTTATTGTCGAACATTGATGTAAAATTGCTAGCTTGGCAATAAAAATAAGATATTTATATATGTTTATGAATTGTAATGATAAATCAACAGGTGTCACACTGTCTTGTGAATTATTATATTAGAAAGAAAATTCAAAATATCTTATTAATAAATTATAAAAAGTTTTAAAATAATTTTGTCAAATACATAATTAAAAATTAGTGAATTTGATACTTTAAAATAATATACACTATACTAAGTGTCAATTTATAATCCTTTCCATAATTCTTCAACTTTACCATCATTTATTTAGGAATGGAAATATATATTGTGATAAGATATGAGTAAGTGAAGAGACAGATAAATATTTTTTGTGAGTATTATTCATTGAAAGTATTTGGATATGTTAAATTTTCATGTACCTTATTATTCTAAAATAACAACTATTATTTTGTAATGAGTGAAATACACATATTATAAATTATATATTAAACTATTATATATCATAAAAATAAAAGAAAAGATAAAAAATAATATTAATATTCAGAAAATTATACTAATCAATAATCCTTTGTGCTTTAATTTATACGATTTATCATTATTGCCCCTTCTGCACGGGCTACTTACTAATTGATGGGTAAATGGTATGTTTGTTTAACCAGTGAAGCAATACAGTACAAGAAAACTGAAATGTAACCTTTTTTGGTAGTCTGGCTGTTAATTTGGTTAGCCTGTTTTATTTCAATGATTTTTAATGTTGTTTCATCAAAAGGTCATACTTTTGAATTCAAATGTGCCCCGCATTTCTTTTTCATGTGCTCTAACTCAGAAATCCGTTGTATCTGAATATCCTTAAGTCTGATTTTTATTCGGTGACAAATTTGAATGTCAGTGGAACTCTTATCATCTCATCCTCTTCTTTTTCTACAGGAACATACTTAAAAGTTTGACGCTTGCTTATGGGCAGATGATACTAAGGAGTGGTTTCTTTCATGCAGATCCTCATCCAGGAAACATTTTGATTTGTAGAGGTTCTGAGGTAAATTCAGATCATATTCTAGAGTAACTAATGTCTTCACTGATTTCCTTGATTAATCTCCTTTTCACCTATTAGGTTGCCTTGCTTGATTATGGGCAAGTGAAGTATCTTCCTGAGACACTGAGGCTAGGATATGCTAATCTTGTGATTGCTATAGCAGATAATGACCCTATAAAGGCATCTGAGAGCTACAGGTGCTACAGCTGATGTTCTATTTAGGCCCTGTACTTTAGTTTAGGTTTACTAGTATATCCACCAAATTCCATGAGTGCACCGAACTCATGAAATCCAACTGTAACAGACATGGTACTCTACTAAAAATTTCTGCATTGCTTGTTTGTTTTGTGGTCGCCCATTGGGTGTGATTAAATAATCTTCTAAGGCCCCGAAAATGTTTAGTTAACTAACTGTGCACTGTGTCCCAATATATTCATATGAAACGATAATATTTATCCTCATTAAAAATCACTTCAGCCTTGTCGAAAGAATGCCTTTTAATTATAACTGAAATTAAACACAATTTCAAAGTATGGTCTCAATCATCAATAATTCATTTATCTAAAATTTAAAAGGTACTGCAAAGATAGTTGACTGGCAGTGGTCAAAAAGTCCCTGCAAGCACATGATATTATTTTCGCTAGCCAAATCATCCAATGTATCCTCAAAACAAGGTTGATATTTCATAATTGGATAGAATACTGAGAGAAACCTCTCACCAAGCTTTCAAACTTTGAAAGTTCTTGCATATAAGAAGAGTAATTTAGTGCTGGCAGAATCTCTTTGTTTAGCTGTTCAGACTTTGAATTTCATGGTGTTTGAAATTACCGGAGACAGTTGGGTGTCACTATTTAGTATTATTCTTCATATGCTTGTTCTATGGTGTGTGTAATCATCTAACCTCTAATGAAATAAATTGCTGTATTTACATCTACAGTGATCCACAAAGAAGATTATTGGATTTAACGGCTTGACTATCAATATCTTCTCGCATATGTCTAATATGCCTATTCTGGTGTTAGGGAGCTTGGCATAGACACTTTCAGCAAATGTGAGAATGAGAAGAAAGAGTTGCTTAGATTAGCCCAAACAATGTTTGATACGAAGCTACCACCTGGTGTAACAATGTTGCAACCCTTTTCTGATGAATCTTCAATTAAAAAGATTGCTGTTCAGGTTCACAATAGATTCATTCGATTCACTTTGGGACATTCTCTCTGTTTTTATGTAGTTGTAATGAAAAGAGTTTGTAACAATACTCTGCATTTGTGTTTTTGGAATAAGTTAGATCTACTTGTATCTTTTTCCAGTACAATTTATTCTTCATATGTGAGAACTTGTTAGCATTATGAGTAGTTTTGAGTGCGGACCTGAAATGTATTACCGATCATGTGAGTTTGTTGTTAGCTTGTGCTCATGGTAGATCACTTTTTTTTTATCTCCTTTTGATCACATAATCCAAGTTCTGTTAGCCTGCCACTTGAATGTAAGCATACTGGTTTGTTTATTTGACTGAATTTTAAGTTGTTTAAATGATAGGCTTTCCCAGAAGAACTGTTCTCTGTTCTACGTACGGTGCATTTACTTAGAGGGCTTAGTGTGGGGCTTGGAATCAATTACTCATGCGCGGAGCAGTGGAGGCCCATGGCTGAAGAAGCTCTATATCTTGCTGGGAGGTTAACAGGTTACTCTTTCTCCCTCAGGCACGCTTGTGTCAAACGTTTTGATATCATACTACATCCTAAAATTCAACTAAATTGGGAATAACACTAAAAAAAATAGAATACTGAAAGAAACTAGAAAAACAGAAACATAAATAAAGGGACCTAGAAAAGATGAAACATGAATCCGTTAAAGAAACTAAAAAACCTGAATGACATGGGAATGGAATAACCATGCCCTTGCTCATTCCTTATCCCATGATTGCTATATTTTTTTTAAATGAATGGTCATTCCAATGAGAATTGCAAAACCCATCTCCATGGGATTAGCCGTTCCACAGCAAATGCAAGGTTTTCTCATTTCCATATTTGTAGGAATCATTTTTTAAAAAAAATAAAATTAAGAAATAATAATAAAAAATAAATATATAATATATACTGTAAATCATGATTAAATATATTATATAAAATTATTTTAAAAAATAAATTTGAACAGAAAAATTTAAAACTTTATTTTTACTTATTGTTCATATTTTAATTCAATATATTAAGTATATACAACAACAATAATAAGTCGTTAAAATCTCACTAAATAGAGCCGGCTATATGGATCGCATGTCGCCATCGTGCTCGATCAAAACATATATCCTAATTCAAATTTAAATATTTCAAATCATATTTTATTGTTTCCTTCCAAGTTCCCTCCCCTTTTTAATTTCCATTATTAATTTTAATGTTTCTACCTTTCTGACCCGGGCCTCGACGTCTCTCATAGACACATGCCAAAACCATCTTATATAAAAATCAAACTAAAAACAATCATTTAAATACTTTAAAAAATATTATTTCATTCTTATACATCATATATATTATATATTTATTCATGAATTGAATTATAATAATATAGAAAATTATTGCCGACCACATATGCTTATAGGAGTTTATGTAATGATATATTTGTATTAGTTAATATGTATATGAATACACAATTCACTAATTTATTATATAATATATATGAGTGTGAAAATACAAAATATATTAATTAAAATTTAGTATATTTTTTTAAGAAATAAATATTGGGTATGTTGTTGTTGTTGTTGTTGTTGTAGTATATTTTTTTAAGAAATAAATAATTTTATTATTATCATAAATAAAAAAATAACATTAATATAAATATTAATTTCCTTTATAGTGATAAATGATAATGTCATTCCATTCAGGTCTTATTCCTTCTACATACCAACAGTGACGGATCTAGGAATTTTATTCAGGGGGGTCCAATTTTAAATGTTATAACGAGCTTGTAGTTTAAGTCGAAACGTTCATTTCATATAAAAATGTATCTACTATAAATATAAATATCGATATGTGTAACATCAAGTTTTTCTAAACTTAGAATCTGTATCACCCTAAAACTTTTAAAAAAATAAACAAAAAAAAAAATGAGATTTCATATATTTATAACTTAAGTTCAACTATGGAAAAAAAATGAGTTTTTTATTGAAAAATTGATTTAAATTGAACGTTTGCAGCACATTGCATAACATCTTTGTTGATGAGAGTTTATAAAATGAATATTTTAAAAAAAGACAATAAAGAAATTTAAAAATATGTGAAAGTAAAAAAATCAAAATCATAAAATATAACAGTCCAACTAAATACTAGGTTTTATAAATTACTAAATCGATTTACAATTAAGAGGCCCAAAGAGTAAATTATTATAAATATTCTTTCAAATTTATCTAGAAATGTAAAAATGAGGATTGTTAGTACATTTTTTAATAAATAAATAATATTTTTAATTTAAATTAAAACAACATAAAAAATAAGTTTTAATTATTAATATATTGTTAAAAAATGTAAAATGGTGTTACCTTTATATACATATTTTCCTTTATATATATTAATATATATTGGAAGTCTCGTTTTATACATATTGTTACATTAATATATTGCAAGCCTCGTTTTACATTTTTTAAAATCCTCGTTTTACATTTATATACATATTCTCCTTATTTTTCACACACACACACACACACATATATATATTAATGGAAAAACTAAAAAGAAAAACTGAACTTTCTGCCCCCTTCGCCAGAATACTTGTTTAGGTGGTGTGACATAACTCTCTCTCTCTGCCTGGCCTACTCCTTTCGAATCTAAGATAGATATCAGTATGTTGCAGGTTCATACCTCTATTTGTCAATTTCGAAATATTTGTGTCATCTTTTCTGTGCATTTAAGTGACCGTTTTGATTCCACTTGACCCCTCCTCTTGGATTCATTACTTGATAAAGTTGAGGTACAATCTGTTTTGTCTATTACTGTTCATTGAGCATATGATTGTAATTGAAGTGTAATGTGAATTGTCACACCACGCGTAGAATAATTTAAGTTAACTCAGGCATGTTTGTGAGCCGACTATTTTACTTATTTTTGTCTATACGCAACAGATAAAGATCTCAAAAAAGCACACAGACGTGGTATTCTCAGGAGATTCTTCAGTAGGTAGCAAATAACTGGTAATGAGTCGAGCGCAATCTAATAAGCTGTCTTCTATTTAGCTGGCCATACTCAAAGCTCGTTTGTGTTTTCTGCATATTTAATATATTTGCAGTTCCGTACTATCAATGTACCTGATTTATCTGCGAGGTAAGTGATTATATTGGAAATTCGTTTTGAGCAAGAGTAGTACGATTCTGTTGGAAATTTTATGACCATTCAACATTCTCATTTGGAAGATGAATTTTGTTTACATTTTTTCTCAGGTTATTATGTTAGTGTGTCAAATCTATGTTGAGTTATTCGTTGATCAACTGTAACAAAAAAAACTGTTCTTTTAGGCTTAGCGTGATTATGAAAAGGAGATCGAATTATCTTTAGGCTATGTTTGGTAAAACTAGCTGGTAAGCTAGCTTCTAGCTTATCAATAATTTTTTAGCTTATAGCTTATAGCTTATGACTTATAGCTGAAAAGCTAGCTTATATGATAAAAGTGTTTGGTAAAATTAGCTGATAAACTAGCTGGAATAAAAAATTCAACTAGTTTATTTGAAAAGCTACCTAAAGAAGCTTATCAAATAAGCTCGAACTTTTTAAAAAAGCTCGTCCTACCAAACGAGGCTTATTTGAATACAGAAAGCTTATAAGCTCACCAAATAAGCTATAAGCTAGCTTATTTGGCTTACCAAACACAGTAATATTGCAAAGATAACTGGAGGTACATAAATAAAAAATCTACTTGTTTGTTTTTTTGTTTTTTTAATTTCTATTTCTTTACTATTAAAATATGAATGAGTAAGATTCTAACACATCTACTTATATTCAGATAAAATTTTAAAAACAAATATTATTAGTTTTTTATTTTGATTAAGCTATTGAAGAGAGCCAAATTGAATAAATCCAAACAAACTTTAATTTTTTTTTATTTTTTTTTGGTTATTCAAATGGNTTTCTTTTTCCCAATGTGCAACATTACCTAAACTACCGTCTCATACCGTATAGAATCGACTTATAACATTAGATGTATGTTATTAATATATTTTATGTCAACTTAGTAATATTTGATCTATAATTGAACTTTTCTTATTATAAGTATTTTTTAAAATAGTATGAAAGGTTAAAGAATATTTATTTAAGAAAAAATTATGTTATTATTTTTTTAATTTTAATTTTTCAATATTAGTTCACAAATTTAGTATTAACTAAAATTTAGAGTTACTTCTAAAGTTGATTTTAAAATAAAATCTTTAATATGGGGAAGTATTGATGAATGTTGGTTATTTTAAAACATTTAAAGATTAAGTAACTAAAATTTAGAGTTACTTCTGAAGTTGATTTCAAAATAAAATCTTCAATATGAGGAAGTATTGATTAATGTTGTTTTTTAAAAGCATATAAAAATTAAAAAATAACTAGGTGGTCATTCAAAAAAAATTTAAAAAATAAGAAATCTATGAAGATTCCGAATCGAACCATGTCGAACCGAATCGTTCCGGTAGTCTCGAATACCGAACCGAAAAATAAAAATCCCTGAACTGAACTGTCTCGATTTTTTGGTACAGTTTCGGATATCGAATTTAGCGATTTTCGAATTTTGGGACGGTTCCAGATATTTTTTAATCTCCGAACCGAATCGACTCATGCTCACCCCTACCTACACATTCTTTCTCAACTTTAATAACAGGTTTTGGTAAGGTTTACAAACCCCACCTTCAAAGGTTTACTACTATAGTTATGAGGTTTGAGGTTTTAAAATTTTGATACGGGTTTGAAAATACAACACTCGTATTAAACCTCATAAATATAAAGTTATAAAAAAGAAAGAAGATTGAGAAAATTATGCCAGCAACGAACTCATCCAAAAATATTTGCAAATCTACTAGTTCTTTTTTTTATTAGCAGATTTGAATAACATGCAAAAAATATTTGCATATATACCGCACTTTTCAATATTGATTTTTTTAGGCAAGGAGAGTGGACACAATATTGAAAGCATATTGAGTCATGCGCGTATATTTACGCGACCCAGAAGTCAGGGTCCTTAAATGACTGGTGGTGGAAGATCTCGAGCTTAATAAATCAGACATCTCAGAATCCCGTATCCAGCTTTCCACATACATTCTTTGGTGGCTGTGGAAAACCCGTAACTTAGGGATATTCCGGAATGAATGGCTTCCCGAGAAAATAATCGTGGATAACGCTTGGCGGGAATAGATGGAATTCAAAAGCCGCAAACTATCATCGAGCTAATGCTGGAAGTTCCTTTGTTGATTAGGTCCTTTGGTTCAGTTTTCAACAAATACTTCTATTTTATATGCTTATTTTCGTTCTGAGTTGTTAAAGGACATAGGTGCCGAGTGGTTTCACTTTGCCTATAGTCCTTGTTAGTCTTGTTGTTTTTGCGTTTTAGGGCACTGCTTGCAAGTGTACCTCCGTTTTAAGTGTTGTAGTCGGATTAGTTAATCCGCCGTNCCTTCTAAATTCACATCCTAAACTAAAAATATTAAAACCAATATTCAATATTTTTAAAAGAAAAATTTTAATTTTCAACAATTAATTATAGGTTATATTTTACTAATAGTTAAAATTTGTTATATTGATTTTACTTTGTTCAATATTTTTTATATTTAATTTTTTATATTTAAGAAAATATGATACATACTTTAAATTGAAAATATTATATGTGAATACAAATTAACATATTATAGGATTGTATTTTACTAATATCATATTTTATTTTTTTAATCTCTAAAATGTCATTTATAATATTGTGATGATATAAAATAAAGAATAGAATTTGATATTGTATGACATACATTTGTAATTTTATGTTAAACAACATATTACTCGGGCTGCACATTATTTAAGTTCTATGTTTCGTAATTTTTTTAATAAAATTTTACATCGGTACGTAATGAACACACTATAATTATAAATAGTGATATATAATCGTAAGTAATTATATATTTTTTTTTAAATGTATTTATGATAAATATATGAAATATTTAAACTGAATTAAAATAAAAAGTGGAGTTGCATTTTTTAAATATTATTAAAAATATAAAAATATAATATTAATTGAAAGTAAGTGGTAAACATGTGGGGCCCGTTAAAAAGTAGGTTTATGATGTTTATTGTGATTAGAGGTTTATGAGTAGGGGTGTGCATAAATTGACTAAAACCGACCGAACCGAAAATTTTAGTTCGATTTTTATCCGACTCGGTCAGTTTTCGGTTTTCAACTTTTAATTGTTCGGTTAGTTTGGTCGGTTTCGGTTTCGGAATTCAAATATCCGAAATAACCGAACCGATCGAATAATATACATATATATATACAGAATCACAATTCACAGATAATCCTAACAGAATCACAATTCACTGAATACTCTTCGGCTCTTCCGCAACTCCTCGCTCGTCCTCTTCTCTTCCCCCAAATATCGATTCGCCCCTACCTGTGGTCCTCTCCCTCGTCTCTTCCCAAAACCCTCCGCCGTCTCCAAATCTTCCGCCGCGGCCGCTGCTCCTCTCCCCTAAATCGCCCCAATCCAAGTCATCCCCCAAATCGTCTTCTCCGATTCTAAGTAGCTGTGTGCGTCTGAGACTCAAAGCTCCTTGTCATCTGTCAAGACTCAAGAACTCCTTTTCTCCAGTCGTCGATTTGTCTATTTCGGTAAGTTCAAGAGGAATCTTCATTTATGGTTTCATGGTTTCATCTTCAGTAGTTCTTCTTTGCTTGTAGTGCTAGTTTTATTCATTATAATTAGCTAGATTTGATCACCTTTATTTTTTGTTCCAGACTTGTATTGTTGTGGTCCTTGTGGATCTGTAATTGTTCTTGAATTGTCTGGAGGTTAACTAATTTGAAGAAAACTATGCTGATGTTGTTATTTTAATTTTGTTATATGTTATGCAAATTCTTCTTTATCAAATTTTATAATGTAAATTTTTATGAAGGTTAAACTGGAGATTGCATGCTTATAGATGAGGATGGCAAGTATGTGCTTAGTTTTCTGGAATTTTTGGAACAAATTTATATATGTAGAGCCTGTTATAATTCGGTTAACCGACCAAATAATCCGGTTTGGTTATACTTCGGTTTTAAACATATATTTCGGTTGGTTCGGTTTTTGACTTATAGCATTTTGGTTAACTATGAACACCCCTATGATGGTAAAACTTGGAAGTGGGGTTTTTAAACCTCCCAAAAAGCTATCATTGGGCATCTTAAACAATAAACCTCTCTTTACAGTTCCCCACAACACATCATCCAAGACCTTATTCTTACTCCTACAAACTTTTTTAACAGATTCCACATATTTCTCACTTATTTTTAATTAATATTATACTCTTATAATTTTAATAATATTATAAAAATACAACTCCACTTTTTTATTTTAATTCAATCCAAATATTTCATTGTTTATCATTAATCCATATAACACATAATATAATTATATTGCATTATTTATAATTATGGAGTATTAATAACGTACCGATGTAATGCTTTGTTTAGAAAATTTACGAAAAATATAGAAATTATAGTTTCGAAAACTAAAATTAAGTTTTTATTTATAGTTTTGTAAATAAAGACAAAAGAAAAAATTTTCTAAAAGGAATTGGAGCATTGACCTATAGAAATAAAAGAACTAAATATAACATTATTCTAAATAATTGAGATTTTTTATCCTCACAACCATTAAGAAAAGAATTAAAATTCATTTTTATTGCAAACAGTTGTGTTTTACATGTTCCAAGAATGAAAAATTAATTGGAAAACAAAAAATTAAATGAAAATAAAAGAGAAGACAAAGGAGTGGGACGACTCCAAGAATTAAAAATTAATTAAAAAACAAAAAATGAAATAAAAATAAAGAGAAGGCAAAGGAGTGGGAGCTTGGCAGGGCTTGGTAGGAGGTGAGCCATCCATTGCATTAAGGTGGTCAATCAATTATCAGTGAGTGGCTTCCACGCGCTACAAACTAAAGGAGAGGATGTGAGCCGTGACTTTTAATACTCCCATCAAATTTTTTTCTTTCTTTTTTTTTTATAACAAATTTATTATAGCTTTTCTGGAGGTTTGGAAATGGAAACCGAATTTGAGTTTCTTAACCTTAAACATGTCAACTTTATTCGTAAACCTTAAAGTGTACAATTTTAAACTTCTCCCAAAATTTGTTGTTAAAAATGCTCCATTAAACAAACGCAGCCAATAATTTGTGTTGGTTGGGATCCGAAGGATTAGGGCCGGGAGAGAGGAAAATGGACGCTTTGTGTGTTGCTGCTCATACTCCCTATTCTTCTTCTTCATCTTATTCGCTTGCCATAAATGCCCGCTTATCCTACGCACCAAGCCTTAACCAGTGCACCTCCCAGCTCCCCGCATTCCGACCACCGTCCCATGTCTTGACTTATTCCCAGTCTCGCCGCTTTGCCTCCCGCAAACCCCACAGGCCCCGCATCTTCCTTCCCCTCGTAGTTGCTTCAATGGTATCGATTTCTTTAATTCTCATTCAGAATTTTGTCAATTTATGGTTCTTTTGTTTTCGTTATCATGCTTTTGTTCGTCTTCCTTGTGCAGGAGCAAGTGGAAGAGACTTATATCATGATTAAGCCAGATGGAGTTCAGCGTGGTCTTGTAAGCTTTTTGTTTATGTGACCTTATAATTGATTGTGCTGGCTATGTTTTTTTATGAGTTTTATGAAAATGGAGGTAGGTGGGGGAGATAATTTCCAGGTTTGAGAAGAAGGGTTTTAAGATGACTGGATTGAAGCTATTTCAATGCCCCAAAGAACTAGCCCAGGTCTGTTCTCTTGATTTTTTCTATTTTGTTCATACTTTATTCGTTTTTCGCGATATCCTGTTAATTATGTGGTTATGTTACTGTTGTTCTTCAGTGTCTTTTAATGGTGATGATTGCAGGAGCATTATAAAGATCTGCAGTCAAGACCATTCTTCCCCAAATTGACCGACTACATTACTTCTGGCCCTGTTGTTTGTATGGTATGCTACTGGGAGCTATTACTGACTGTGTCATCTTTCTTTCGATTTTTTATTTGTAATAGGTTATTATGTTTTCTTCAAATTCTTTGAAGTTGTTTTGAACTGATGAGTGTTATGGTTAATTTTGTCACTGCAAGGCTTGGGAGGGCGTGGGTATTGTAGCCTCAGCCCGTAAATTGATTGGAGCTACAAATCCTCTAGATGCGAATCCCGGCACAATTAGAGGAGATCTTGCCGTCCATACTGGAAGGTCAATCCCCTTATATTCTACAACTTTGCATTTCTCAGAAAAGCTTTGAATTTAGATGTGGACTTTTTTCGATCTCTTCCTTTTGGTTCGAGTCTTTTTGTGTTTCTCTTGGGTTTCATCTCTAGCCTACCCCGACTTGCTTGGGATTAAAGGCTATGTTGTTGTTGTTGTTAGATGTGGACTTTTTTCTTGTATTGGAATTCTAAGCGCTCGACAGGGATTCTCATGATTTTATGTGAATCCCACATTGCAGGAATGTGGTTCATGGAAGTGACAGTCCTGAAAACGGCAAACGTGAAATAGGTGAAGTTTCGTATAACGTTTTTATAGTCTGTCTTCTGGACTCACTAATGTGATCTTGTGCAATGCTCAAATTTCCTGGATTTGTATGAGGACATGCTTGTACTGTACTACATGTATTAAAACACACAGTAGAAGAAATAAATAGATGGAACTGAACATTTAGTTTGAATAAATCTTGCTATTGCATGTCTTGAAACAAGAAAGAACAAGTCAACAAGAAAGTAGATAAAATTTTTGAAATCCCACTGTTTTTGTGTATTGCTACTTATGCGTGAGGGCACTTTCTGAGAGAGCAAGCGTCAAAATTAGAATTACCTTTTTCCCATTCTCTCGGAACTTGCAAGTTCAGTATAGCGAATGGGATATTTTTATTCCTGTTCAACTGTGGAAATTCTACTTAGTTGTTTAATATTGTTCTGTGATTTCAAGTGGAGTGTTTGATTATGTGCTTATTAGTTATTACTATTCTGCAGCTCTGTGGTTCAAAGAAGGAGAACTATGCGAATGGACACCTGCACAAGAACCGTGGGTTAAGGAATAATTCTTTTGCAACAACTCAGTTTGGAATTTCTTCTACCTTCGTCAAAGCATTTGATTCACATACAAGAGGTGTAAACTGAAAGAGTCCAATTTTTGTTTTGTTCCTTTCTAATTCCCAACCCAAACGAGTTACAATGTCATTGTTATTAATTTTGTGAAATCTGTGGTTTTATTATTTATTTATTATAGTCCACATTAAAATAGGTGTTACCATAAGGTCACTGCATACTGGGGTTTGCCTGTGTTAAGTGGAATCATGTGCTTAGATGCACGGCACTATCACTAAGTGTAAACAAGCCGAGCTAAGCTCAATTGTCTAAAAAAAGAGCCGATGAACAAGTTCAAGTTGGATTCGATAATCAATATTAACAAGTTGAACTTACGTTGAACTATAGAAAATCTATTAAAAATCTCAATTGCGTTAACAAGTTGAGCCAAACTTGTTTTGTTAACTTATTGAGTTCAACCTATTTGGAATTCACAACTGATTCAATTTTGTTTAACAATTCTCTATTTGTCTCCCTCTAATAAAAAAATTGTCTTGTTAACTTAACCGGCTTTGAATGAGCTTGAGCTCAACCTATTTGGAACTCACAAGTGATTCATTTTGTTTATCAACTCTCTATTTGTCTCCCTCTAATACAAAAAGTTGTCCTCTATACTCAGTCTATCCTTAGGACTCAATAGCATGAGACTGAAGATGGTTGACATGCTTATATTTTTGTGAGGAAAAAGCTAAACATGCTAAAAAAATTCTGATTTTAAGACTGAAGAAAATTTCGCCAGATGTATGATTTTTTTTTTCTTTCTTTCTAAATAAAAATTACATTACTCAATTACGTCCAATTATTTATTGATGTTGATCTCATTTTGCCTTTTCAGAGGAAATTAATGAAGATTCAATATTTGTCTTTATATTTTTTTTCTTCCTTCACACAAATCATCCAAATATACATATCTCAGGAGTCCTATCCAAATAAATACATTCATATCACAAACAATCAAAGTTTTAAGCTTACAATACTAGTAATACATTTTACTCGTACACATAAGAGAAACTGCATTTGGAAAATAAATTCTTCACAAGT